GCCTTTCCCCACCTCTCTCTACCCCCCCCCTAACTCTTTGTATACCCATGCCAGTGAAGGGTCTGATGAGTTTTAACAGATTTTGACAGCTTTGCTTTGCTTATAGGGGATATATGCACGATTGGAATTATAAGACGTTCGTCTGTCTGTTTGTGAGCAGAAATCTGTTCCACAGATCCTCCTCCCTTATGATGCGACAGATCGGTCCAGCATTCGAAAGATATTTCCATCAAACTTCGACCAAAGTCTATCCAATCTCATGGCCCACCACAGTAGCGAGGGTATATACCCGTTGCACCCCTTGAGCTCCGAGTATCCTTCCGTGCACTCATGCTCCTTCTGTTTTGTTTGTAAAGAGTTGCGAGGGGCAAAGTCGGGCATGGGCCATGGAGCACGAGGCATGAGGCATGCGGCATGCGGCATGGGGCATGGGGAGGTGCCTCTGTTGCTGGCTGGCTCTATATGTCAGTTGATTTCATTTCACTTTTTTCCTGGCTGTTTTTTCGCCGTTTTCAACCTCGTTTCATGCCAACTATTAGTGGAGCTTTGTGCCCTGTGTGTTCACTCAACTCAATCCAAGCCGAGGCTCTGGCCAGGACCCATTTTTTTGTCGGTTGCGTGGTGGGTGGGTGGGGAGGCCTTTTGATGCCCGTTGCACGTGAATGCGCGCGGGATGTGAGCCGGGAGCGAAACGGCGTAGGAAACCTTGACAGTTGCATTGTTGCCTGGCGCTGACAGGCGTCCGTGGAATGTCGGAGCCGTCGCCTATTTGCATTGCGTAACGGAATACCAGCCAGGATACCGTACCCTCGTACCCATCCATATCCAGGAGGCACGGCACGGCCACGGCCCAACCCTTACACAAGGGAACACTGACCTGTCCTATGCGCGTGCAAACACGAAAAATCACACGAGGCACAGTCGCAGGAACAGAGATACAAAGATACAAAGATACAGATAGAGCCCAGAGGGAGGGGCCAAGGGAAAAGAGGACGATAGGACGAGAGGACGATAGGAAGACGTTGCCAAGCGGAACATCTGCACAAACAAAAATGCAGCCGGCCCTGTGGAGAACTTTATCCAAGTTTCAGATACCCACAGGATAGGGTTCTCCAGTCAGATATAGCCGTTGGTACCCAGAAAACGTCCTGGAACTTTCGCCTCCACTTTCTGTCTCGTTCTCACTGGCTCCCTGCGTGTCCTTTGTGCGGACAGCAAAGGACATTCGCATTGCATGCAGCCGCAATACAAAGGAATACCAGAAATGTATCTGACAGTTGCGCTGCAGTTCACGTATTTGAAAAATGAACGAAATGCGCACGAAATGTAAAAGAATAAAATAAGATAAAAAATATAATAATAAAATGAGTTAAGCAAATATTTGTGCAGGACAACGAATAGTCGATGCCCTGCAGAATGTTTGATTTCAGGAATGGCCAAGGAACGTGGCTATAGGAAATCCTGGAGGACAACAGGGCACTATCTGGTGGATTGTATGAGAGAGGGAAATACTATGGAACATTCGAGTCTTATCGTTATTAGCTGTGAAAGGATTGGATAAGGATCTGTTAGGACCTCTACCTGGAATAACCGATTGGTCGTAGATTATAGAAGATATTTAAATGTAAATTTTAACAAAAAAGTGGAGGTGGAAGTGCATTTTCCTATTGTACGAGTACTCTTCTGTTCATCCTTAACCACAATTTGTGATCCCTAGAGAGGTACCCCTCACTTTCTGATCAAGCGAATATACCCCCGTCTGTGGAGCTCCTTCTGCGAGAGAGTCAAAGGCAGAACAACACTTTACCGCAAGGGCAAAGCCATCAAGAGTGAAAATTCTTGCACTGAAGTTGAATGCACCACCAGGAGGAGTTGGTTGCAGCCAAAGGACTATCAGCACTATTCTGTCTCTCCGTCTCCATCTACATCTCCATCCCCTTGTTCCTCTACTTATTTTAATTTATTTTATTCTGCATAAGATCTGCCAGTTGGCAGCAGCTTCCGAAGTCAGAGTCAGAGGCACAGCCAGAGACAGAGACAGAGAGAGAGCGTTCTCCATCTCTCCTCCACATCCCGCACAGCTCCATCGCTGGATCTCTGGAGCAGAAAATGCACGTAATACGAGTAAAGCAAACCAAATGCATTAACAGCCAGCAGCCGGAAAGGGAGGGGGAACGCAGGGAGAACGGGAGTGAGAGAGAGAGAGAGAGAGAGAGAGAGAGACTAATACACTCACATATTTATATTTGTGCCATTACAGCCCTCGCTGTTGCTGCTGCTGTTGTTGCTGTTGTTGCTGCTGCCTGGCTGTCGCTCTTGTACGAGTTTTGAGTTTTCCGAAATCATGAAAGGAGCAGATGTTAAATTTTTATACACGACGCAGCGCAAAGGAAACAACAGCAAAGGCGGCAGAAGCAGCATTAAAGCAGCGCTGCCCTCAGCTGGCGTTCGCAGCGTTTCGCTCTGTGCTTCCTCTTCTTCTTTTTCCTTTTTCTCCTTGCTGCACACTGCATTATTATAATACCCTGGAAAAGTGCAAGAGGGCATTATGATTTGAGGCGAATGTTTGTAATGTTGGAAGGCCAATAGGCATAAAAAATCTTCTCGTAACAGAGGGGCCATAGGAAAGATCAGTCGTGGAGCACCAAACAAAACTTATTAATCCATCAATATAACCATCAGTAGGATCAGTAGGATCTATCCATCCACGAGGGTATCCACCAGCCTCGACCACCGCGCATTGCCATTCGTTCTTGCTGTTCTCTGCTCTCTGCTGCTGCTGCTGCTGTTGTTGTTGCTTCCTTTTGGACTCATCATTGCTGCTGCTCTCCCGCTCTCCCGCCTGCACTTCATATATGGGTTGGTTCGTTGCCAGGCAGCCGCAGCCGCGGCGCTGCTTTTGCTCTGCCCGAAACTTCAGCTGCTCTTTGACGCTGCTGGCTTTCAGCTAGAGCGAGCGAGAGGGGCAGAGCCAGCAGCGCTGGACATTGACCGTTGTTTGCTGTCCTTAGAGAGCGAGAGAGAGAGAGAGAGAGAGCTGGCAGCAAACTTGGCAAAAGCGCTTTTCAAACGGTACATGTATGCACACATGCACACATGCACACACGCACACATTTATCCTTATATCCCGGTCAACGTGCCTCCAGTGCTCCAGTGAATTTTAATTGTAACAATTTCCATTCGTACTCTCCTCCGTCGCTATTGCAATAGAAAATTGCTGCAGATTTATTGTACACACATTCCTACCTGATTTGTCAATGTCGTGTCGTCGTTGTACCTGGTGCCTGGTGCTGCGTATTGGAACAATGCTTTTCCATTTCGTTTCGTGATGCTAATCATTGCTAAAACTCTATACAATACAATACGGGGATGTGTGCCATGCCTCATCATCCCAGTAGAGAGGGAGCGAGAGGCAGCGAGAGGGAGAGAGAGGACAAATTAACCCTCAACACAGTCATGGGGTGAAGAGCGCAGAGCCTCTATTGTGGCACAGAGTGGGTAGGGGGTCGTCGATCCGACAGTTCCAGCAGTTCTCAAAAACAACAATTCTCAATTCTCTGTTTCGGTTTCAGTTTGTGTTTCTGTTTCTGTTTCTGTCTCTGGAAAATGCATTTTCACATTTTCACAACAGGTACAAAAAGGAAAAATAACAATTTGCAGCAGGCAGAGGCTGTTGCACCTTTGATTTTAATTGGGATTTTCGGGCATGCCAAACCGAATTCAATGCAAATAGTTGTGCTTCGATTCATCAATATTTCTCTTTGCCATTTTTTTAAAAGGATTTTTTTTGTGAAATATTGCAAAACCCAAAATGTACACAAGATATGCCATCATATCTTTGCTCGTTTGATTGCCACAGAGACAGACAGACAGAGACTCTCTTTTAGCTTAGGGTTTGCATATGATATAACCAAATGAATTATGTACGGGTACGGGATATGGGGTAGCCGTATATGCGCAGGCATAGAGCTTGTTTACTCAAGGAAATGCCTGGCAGCACTGCGAAATCGAACAGAAATCATAGAAAAGGAATGAAAAATCTAATAGAGTATTTCCATTAGCAGAATAATCCAAATTCCACAAAACTCCTCCCAAATATCGTACCACATCGAATCGAATATAATATTTGCTTTTCATTGCAAAAATATCCTGGAATCACTCGTGAATGTGTCCGCTTGTTTATGGGAACTTTGTACAGTCAAGTCAAAGGCCTTCATTGCCACTCAAGAAACGATGAAAAAGTTTAAGGTCAATGGAAGGACAAACTTTCGCGATGATTCCTCAGAATTGCATAAATTATAACAGCTCCCAGCTTTAAATCCATATTGGGAGATAGTTTCCATTCTAGTCCTCTAATATCATGATGTTTCTTTGGTCGTAGGTCTCTTAATGGATGTATCCCCAGGGATAGCAGCTTCCAGCTGCTTCCTTCCGGCATCCCAGTCCCTCAGATGCTTACAGCATCGTAACAGCATGGGCCCAATGGGCCTCAATACATCCATGCCATGTCATATCCTCTGACATCCTCTGTCGCCATATCCTCGCAGCACACACCGATCCGATCCCCTGGCCCATGGACGAGTGGGCCCCTTTTTTCGAAAGCCGCGCTTCGTGCGCGTGACACCTGATGTTATTTTACGATTATTGTTTCTGGATTTATGGAACGCAATTGCATTTGCAGCAGCGGCACAGCAGCGGACAGTGGCAGGTGTTGTTGCAGCAGCTCTTGTTTTTGCTACAGCAGAAAAATTTCATTACGCCATTTCATAATTAAGAGCACTGGGCTTACGTTTTGGGGGCTGCCGGACAAAGGAAAACTATATTAATTAGGAAACCATCAAATCCGATTTGCCCTTTGGCCCCGGGGCCACCAATAACATCGCATTGCTATGGATTGGGGGATTGTTGACGAATCAAAGGGTATTCGGAGTGGTTCCGATTTCTCTCCCCCTCGCCCATCAAAAAATTGCATCCCCCACAGGGGAGGATCGTCTGGAAGCATTATTATATTTAATATCCGATAGATGATGGGTCGTCACAGGGTAAGACTTATTCGAATAGAATAATTCAAATCGAGCCCAACTCTCTTTCTCTCTCTCGAGGTTTTTCCATTTTAAATTATAATTTCTAAAAGCTACTACTATTCGTTTGTGTTTGTGTGTGTGTGTGTGTGTGTGTATGTGTGTGCGTGTGTGAGTGTATCTATGAGAGTGTGTATAACATTTAGATATCAATTATGAATTTTGCAATAATTATTCTCAAATCGTATTTCCACGCAAAAAGTGACGGTGGAACGATGTGCGTCACGGGATTGCTCTGCCTCCTGTCCAGCCACCCGACTCTGTCCTGGTCCTCGTCCTGGTCCTGGTCCTCGTACTGGTCCTCGTCCTGGTTTAATTGGCAGCTATCGTGCAGACACAGCAACTGGGAAACCAGAACGTGTCCGTGTACAGATTCTGTCCGTTGCCCTGGAGCGCAATTAAACGTTTTTGCACAAACTTCTGCTCGCATCTCGAGTTGTAGCCGTTGGGCAGCTCGCACAGGTTCGAGCAGGTGTTCGAGCTGCAAAGAAAACAGCAAAAGAAACAAAAAAAGAAGAAGAAGAAGGTCCAAAAAGGGAAAAGGGAAGAGAGAAAGAGGAGCATAAAGTACAGTAAATACGAGAGATGTTAAAAATCAACAATTGTACGAAATTTAGTTGTGGGTTGCGACCATAAATAAAAGAGCGCGCCGGCTGGGACCCGGGACCCGGGACCCGGGACTCCCTCCTCCTTGTCGGATATGGAGGAGAAGCCAGAGAGCGCGTCAGAGTTGAAAGTTTAACGAACTCGTTAAAACGGGAAATCGTACGTAATTGATAAGGAGCAGCGCATCCCAAGGAGGCAGGCAGCCAAGGCAACGCAACGGTACAATCCCGATCCCAATCCCAATCCCAATCCCTATCCCTATGCCAGTCCCTAACCCGGAACACACAGCTGTGGCTGTTGTTCTTCGGGCCACAGATTTATGCGCGCCTGCGTAGGCACTCAATTTGGTTAAACAAATTGCGCCAAGTGCCACAACAAGTGGCACGGTACAGCGGCAAACAGCTAAACAGGCCACCAAGGGGGGAACACGGCGGAACAATTAGGGCAACGACAGCCCATATTGACCCCAGGGGCAAAGCACAGAGCCAGAGCCCAGACCGGAGGTAGACCCGTACACGGACAACGGACCCGGCCAGACCCATCGCACGGGGTCGGTCACAGGCACAGGCACAGTCACAGTCACATCACCCTAGTTTTCTCGCACTTTGTTGTTTGCGCTTTTTAATTCGAGTGTGGAAAGGTTTTTCGAGTACGTACCGCACGCATCCAAAAAGGGGAAGGAACTGTGAGTGCAAGGGGTAGGGGGAACGTGCAACAGCAGCGGGCAGAGGGCAGAGGGGACCCGGACCCCGGACCCCGGAGCACGGCCTAATGGAATCTTGTAGTCCTGCTTTGGCATTTCTGTTTCGTTCCGAGGGTGTGATAATTCGTTTAACCGCAATTATGACACCAAATACTACACTCCGCGCAGGAAGCAGGACTCGAGCCTTAGTCCGGACCTGCACTAACCCACGTGCCCAGCCCAGAAAGAGCGAGAGAGGGAGAGATGTAGGTTAGAGGCTTCCCCTAAGAAGGGGGAACTTTTCGAGTCGGAATCATCGCTGTCCTGCTGTGACTGGAGAGGGTTGTCCTAACACCTCGGCCACTGATTAAAAGTGTGAAGCGGCAAGGGAGAAATGCGATAGAGAGAGGGGTACGACTCATTATGCAATAATCAGTGGCAATTGCAGCTTCATGGATGCTTGGCTGAACAGGTCGCGCGCCATTGAGAGGGCATTAATGGCGACAACTAAAGTGGGAATAAGTGCTACAACAAAGGCGATAGCTTTTGTACTGGCCAGAGGACATCTCTGATCAACAACAACATGCAGGCCAACATCCCCAGCTTCGTGGAGCTCCTGCAGACACTGATGGAGCCTTGGCGCAATATTCAAAACTGAACTGCTTGTTTTGCTGTGTCACGTACATGGTATTTACGTGAATTTCTTACATTCTACATGCAGCCTACACATGTCAAGTACATATGCGAGGTTCGTGCCTTGGCTAAGCGTTGCCAGAAGCAGTGTAAGGCTTGCATTAATGAAGCAGTTCAAAAGAGGTTCGTTCTATTCAAATGAAATGTATCTTTTGGATTGCTATAACCACAGATTTGTGGCCGATGAGGGCTTGAGGAGGCCTATTTACATGTTTTTGGCATATTACAGTTCCGAGTGTGGCATGTACTCGTGGCGGAAGGGCCATGCCATGGTTTGGCTTACGTTTGGAATTTCTGGCACGTATTTCAATATGTTTTATTGCACGCACTTTTTATTGACGCATGTCCGGGGGTAACGGTGAACATTTTAATGACAAATAGCGGTAGGAAAAACGCCGCCCTACCCAAATATTTGGTATTATTCGTTTTACTAAAATATTTCGAGAAAGTCGTGATTTTGTACAAGAAAGAGACCCTTCCCTACACCCACTACTCCGGATTCATCTACGATATAGAGGGTATCTTTTCAGAACATATTGGATATTCTGTATAGAACTTCCCCAACTTTCGACTCAAGACAAGGTCATTTGGTTTTCTATCGATCGATCCCCCCGATAACCCAAAGGATGTTCTACTTACGCGCACAGCTCCGCTTTGACCATCTGGCGGGCGGTGTTCTGCTCGTTGACCACGAACATCCAATTGCCGCGGCTATTGAGGGCCGCCTGGGGGGTTATGAACTGGGAGGTGGTCTGGCAGAGGGTGGAGCGGCCGGGACTTTGACGCTTGGTGCGAGTGCGTTTCTTTGAGGGATTACCGGCCACACCCACAATATCTAAGAGATCCATGTTGAGGGAGACATCGCGCTTGATTTGCTGGTGCTCCTCCTCCTCCTCCTGCTGCTGCTCCTCCCCCTCCTTCGGCTGCTGCTCCTCCTCCTTCTCCAGCAGTTCCTCTTCCTTCTCCGGCTGCTTCTCCTCCTCAGGAGGTGCTTCTTCTTTCTGCTTGCGGCTCAGATCCCTCACCAAGCGCTTCAGCCAGAGTGTGGCATTGTATGGCGTGGTCTTGCCTGCCTGATTGAAGAACAGCTGACCCGCAGATCCTCCTGTCGCGCCCTGATGATGATTGTAGCGCTGTCCGGCACGATGGCCGCCGCCTGAAGAGGTGTACAGCAGATATCTGAGGCGACGGAGAGAGAGAGAGATTCGGTACTCAAAAAGAAAACAAAGGAATCACTTGGGGCATACTCACGTGGGCGCCTCCGTTGAGGGACTGCTGGCGAAGAGGGAATTGCCCCCGTTGACCCTTTGCGAACTGCTGCCACCGAAGGGCGTCTGATAGCTGTAGCCATTGAAGTCCTGGCCATTGGGATCGCGCGACGGAAAGATGGACTTGGGATCGTAAAAGACGGGCGTCTCGTGCCACGCCACGGCAGCGAAATCCTCCCAGGTCTCGTCCACCAGCAGAGTGCCGGCCTCGTAGCCCCATTTGCGGACGAGACTCTTGATGAGATAGCTGCAAAGAAGAGACGAGAAACAATGGGGTAACAGGGATGATGCAACACATGCAACAGGCTGGGAAAGCTCGGCTGCCGCTTTGCCAGTAGCAGGCAGAAAGACATGCAAGAAAGGCTGACAAGTGCCTGGTGGAAATGGTAATTGCAGCCGTTGCTCAACACAAATCAAATACCATAATTAATATGCAGCCACGGGGCCCAGACCCAGGCCCAGACCCAGACAGAAGACAGAAGACGGAAGACGGGCAAATATGAGGCTGATCGTAAATTATAAATTGGCAGGCTGCCCCGCTATCAACATGCATCGCATGCCCGTCACGTGCCACACACTCGGCGACTCAGATTCCCCGAAAGAAAAGAGGGGTAAGGCCTACCGCGAGACCCGAGAAAACACGCTTTGGGCTCTCCCATGTGATATCTTTGATATTTTTGAGGATTATGCAACGCATTCCAATGCAAGGGCTGCAATAAAAATGCCTATTTAATTGCCACGTCGGCGCCAGGGCTTATCATTCCGGCACTACCATTACCCGCCTAATGCACAATTTATTTAAATCTGCACCGAGGAAATGCTCTAAAAATAGATACAGATACAGATACAGATACACAAACATGGCCAACCAGTCGCAGGCCCAGTCGCAGTCCAACCAAAGCCAAAACCAAAACCAAAACCAAAACCAAGCATCATATCATTTCGTTTTCCACAACTAAGACAAAAGATTTGCGCTTCAAGACGAAGGCGGAATAGGAAATGCTCTTCGAAAGAGTTCGATCTATACACACGGAGAAAAACTTCTCTTTAGATTTCAAGATTTATACCAATAGATTTGCTCCGAGAAGAAAACCTCAAGAAAATATTTGATCTAAATATATTTTCTTTCTTTTATGTTAAAATAAAATTTTTGTATATTTAGCTGAAATATGTATATTTCCTAAAAATTTAATATTTTCATATTTCGATTTTTTTTTTATATATATTTTTTTTATTTAGGATTTTCATTATTGGATTGATTTTTTATTTTTTATTTAGGAGTTTAGTTTGTATTTAAATATTTTGATTTCGATTGATTTATTTTAAAATGTTTCAAATTTACATAAAAAAAATACAAATAATGTATGTTTAATTAAAAAAGTGAAGTCTATTAATTGTATTTGGTTTTTATTTAAAAACCGAATATTTTATTGAAAAATTGATATTTTTTTTTTTTTTTTTTGTATGTAAAATATTATCACAGATACAATTATGTTGTTTGCTGTTACTGTTAGAGCAGTCACAAGAAAAAAAATAAATTATAAAAAAAAACCTAGATTTTTGAGGGGGATTTTATTTGGTTCAATTATCTGCCCAGCCTTGTAGGGCAGAGGTCTTCTTAGATCCTCCTCTTGGGTATGTTTCTTTTAACTACACCAATCATTTTTCTCTGAGTGTATGTTCGATGGAATTGGGGGCTCAGAAGGTATGGAATTCTGTCCATTCTAGCTCAGATCCAACATAGCAATCGTGGCAATCGTTTAAATCTAAAGCTACAATCGGATCAGCCAAGAGACTTGCCCGTTCCCTTCTGGCAAACCCCTAAACAAATTCAAGACACCCTGCGGCCAGAAGTGCCAGAGCCAAGTGCCAAGTGCCGGTTGGAGCCAGCCAGCCGGAGAGCAACTTACATATGTATGATGCCCAAAGACACGATTATTCATTGGAGGCATTCATAAATATTCGAGAAGCATGCGGCCGATTCGTTGTCGCCGTCGTCTCCAAAAGTTGTAGAAGCACTAAGCGAACACGAACAGCCCCCGAGCCGCTGGCGGAGCCAAACAAAAAGTGTCTTGAACTGTCAATTCAAGTTTATTGGGTCAAGGAGCTCCCCCCGAGAGCTGATCCATACGTACAGCATCATCGTCGGAGAGGCTCACGTCTGCGGAAGCAGCACAACAATAGGTACGAGTCGTACGGTTCCAATACTCGTATGCTAATTGGACGCCGAACGAGTTTCGATTTCGTTAGCGAATTCAAATTGAAATTGAAATTGTCTCGTGGCCAAACATTTGTTTGAAATGCATTCGAATGAAGTGGCTTATTCATTCGGAATGGTGGTGTTTGCTCAGGTCTCACAGAGATATGTGTATAAATATCTCTCAAGAGAGGGTAAAGCCTTTTTGTGGCACGTATACATTGGAGCATTAAATTCTAGATTTAATTGAATCAATCAATAATCTGGCTTGGTTTTGTGATGGTTTAGAGATGGCTGGAAGCTTGGCAAGAGTTGATTTTAATGGCTAGCTCGTGTGTGGTAAAGTATCTTGAGAATTATGTGAGATTTTGGCGGGAGTTCTAGACTCTAGATCTCAGGGAGATCTGGAAATAACTGATGGGAGAGCACTCTACAGACTCTCAAGGGTTTCTCCAAATACTGCACTCAAAGTCTTTGACACTTACGTGGGATAATTATCTGCATGCTCGCAATACGTCTTCCCGGGCCGGGCACAGGAGGGCGTCTGTCCGGGCGGTGCCGGTAGAAATTGGCAAGGCGGCGCTCCATACAAACCGCATGGCGGTGGCGAGCTGTGGGCTGCTGCAGTACAAGCTAATATCTGGGAAAGGTATATTCAGAGTTATCGATTGGACTGGGCGTCAGAAGGGGCGTGTACGAGTACTCACCACATAGGCAAGGAGAATTCGATTACAACTAGAAGTGCGCAGACATTTAATACTCTTTGTCATTGTCGATTCATTCGTCGTCGATTTGCATTTGCATTCGAGTCGTCGAGTCTTCGGCCGCTGGCAGGGCGTGATGTCAATCTGTTAGCGAAAGAGAAACTTGAAGCCATGAATCATTTGCGTAAATATTAATCACTGGTTTGCCAAAAGCGGATGGAAAACAGAGTGCAGGCCGAGGCGGAAAATGGCGAAAATGGGCAAATTTTCACACAATTTGCTTGCCACAAAAACAAGCATCAGACGTTTGCTTTTGCCATGGCTTAAGTGCCTGCCCCTGCCCCAGTAAGTGTTAATTTGTTGGCCCCCACCGACTGAGTGTTTGTCGTGTCAAACAAACCGTAACAAAGACAATAACATTTCAAAACATTTACAACAGTGCAACAACAGGCACTGCAACACCCATGACAAGACAAGCTCAACATCAACAACCATTCGAATACCTTAGGCAATACTTGCATAGGCTTCAACAGGAACTACAACAACAAGAAGACTTCATCAACAACCATTACAACATCGGAAACACTTCAACACCACTTACAAAAGCTTCAACAACAGGCACTGCAACACCCAAGACAAGACAAGCTCAACATCAATAACCATTCAAATATCTTGGGCAATACTTACATAGGCTTCAACAATAACTACAACAACAATATTTGCATCAACAAAACCAACAAGAAGACTTCAACAACAGCCAGTACAACATCTGCAACACTTCAACACCACTTACAAAAGCTTCAACAACAGGCACTGCAACACCTAAGACAAGACAAGCTTAACATCAACAACCATTCGAATATCTTAGGCAATACTTACATAGGCTTCAACAAGAACTACAACAACAATATTTGCATCAACAAAACCAACAAGAAGATTTCAACAACAGCCAGTACAACATCGGAAACACTTCAACACTTCAACACCACTTACAAAAGCTTCAACAACAGGCACTGAACATCCAAGACAAGCATAACATCAATAACCATTCAAATATCTTAGGCAATACTTACATAGGCTTCAACAAAAACTACAACAACAAAATTTCTGTCAACAAAACCAATAAGAAGACTTCAACAACAGCCAGTACAACATCTGCAACTTCAACACCACTTACAAAAGCTTCAAAAAAAGTACAACAACGGGCAGACCAACACCCAAGATAAGACAAGCTTAACATCAACAACGTTTTAACAAAAACTACAACAACAATATTTCCACAACAACCATTAAAACATCTGCAACACTTCAACATTACTTAAAAAAGCTCCAACAAACGTACAACAACGGGCATTACAACACCCAAGACAAGTCTGACATAAACCATTCACAAATCTTGAGCAACTCTAACCTTAGCTCCAACAAGAACTTCAACAACACGAGCAAGAAAAACTTCAACAACAACAACAACAACCACTACAACATCTCAAACAACTGCCGTAAATAGCGAAAAATGACTTGCCAGAAGTGAAAGTGATAAAGCAGCAGCTCGCGGAGACGGCTGTCGTCGGCGGAGATTAAGTATACGTAGATTAGGTGTACGCCACGTCAGACACGCCCACACACACACACCCATTGTGATTGTGGGCAGACAGATAATGTCAGTGTTTATGAACATTAATGAATTATTAGAGGGGCGGCTGGGCAAGCAATAAAAACTGTAACTTTTCCACAACATTTGAAATTTGTTAATTATAAATTACACAAAAGCCATTGGCAGGTAAAGTGGTTCAAAATAACCCAGAATTATATAATAGTAATCAAATTTTTCTATAACAAATCAGTGCTCCAATCAAGAGTAAAGCCAACACACAGAACCCCACACGGAAACCGGATTTCGTGTCTGGTTTTTTGTTTTTGTTGAAAAAAAAAAAAAAGTGTAACACAATTAAACATGGAATGAAAGGCAACCATAAACCACTATTGAGGCATGTCATGTGGTGTGACAGCAAAAACATATAGGAATTCATAGGAATTCATGCCACCTGACGTAGGATTTCCGGGATCGCAGGCTAACAGCCAAGCCTCGGTCGAACAAATCAATCAGCAATCGACCGGCCATCAATGACAAAAGTGTCCGAGTGGAGCCCCAGCCCCAGCCCCCGCCTGAAGCTTTGTTCAAATCTTTGGGATCTGCTAATGGAGATCTGTTGGCTGTTGGCTGGCACCCACGCCGCCTCGCATTGGTATTTCCCCTCTGTGGCCCCAAGCCGGCCCAAAGCCCAAAAGTTGCGTCAAGCGATCACCTCATAAATCATAAAATAGCCAAAGAGAAGTTGTTTGGCCCGAAAAGACACAGACAGAAGAGACAGGCAGAGAGTTAGCAGCAGAGCCAGCTCTGGGGTGATTTTTTTATGGTATGTTTTGGGCCATTTGCACATCATTAGGCCGCCGCCAGGTTAATGAAATTGTTAAAGATCACAGATCTCTCTCGTGGGCCACTAATCCATTTGCTGTGCGCTCGTTTGCCACAGCCTGCCTCCACCTCCGCCGCCGCCTCGGTCTGCCCCTCTACCAAAATTGAGTGCCTACTCAGAAATTTGCTTTGTGTTCCACTCAATTTATTTCAATGATTTGGCCCGAGAGCAAAGGCATTTGTATCCATAGTTAACTGATTGCCTTGCGCCAGTCTAATGATCGATATTCGGCTCTTAATCTTTGTCCCGTGCAAAATGTGGCCACAAAATATTCGTACTTGTTCATTTGCTTGGGAACTACGAACTCAACTGCTGTCTAATTAGCAGAGATTTTCCAATTTTGTCATTCAATTAAAGCCCCTTTTATGGAATATTAATGTTGGTTTCTTAAACAAAAGCAAAGCATTTGAAAGGTTCGAGTATTTGGGAATAAAAGTGTTAGGCCCAAGAGTTCAAGAAATATACAAGTGTGGAGGCTTAGAGTTCGAAGGGTACATGTTCTTGGGGTTCTTTGAGCCATTTCAAGCAAAGATTGGGAGTCCCAGGGGATTCCAGGCTAACATTCTTCTCTCTAGAGACACTCCTACAAGGCGCAATGGAAGTAGTACACTGGAGAACACTGTTGTATCAATCTGTATGAGTCTTGGGCAACATCCAAGCAAGGAAACAAGGAAAGAACAAGCAGAAGGAAAACTGTGATATGGGCCGAGGATTTACCGAGGAGGAGGACCACCTTTTTTCCATGGAACTATTGCGATTCGACCGATCTAAAGACCATTTAGCTTCTGGTTAAGGGGCTCTCATTCACTGGGCAGGCGATCGCCATTGTGTGGACGACAGGGATGCTCAAAGGCATTGTATGGAGCCAGTGCGGGTTCTCCTGGGGCCCAGGGCTAGCCGGGCACTGTACGTTCAGGGGTTGGACAGAGGACCAGCTCCCAAGGGGAATCATCTACGGAGCTCTCCACGACTACGTCTAGCATATGCTGTCCGCATGCCAGAAAATAACCAAAAGAAATACCTCTGGGGGGCTTCATTAGCTAATTTTTGAAAACACACATATATATATTGTGCCCTGCGTTTAACTGAGAAATTAAGCACGACTTTTCAAGGTTTCTTTTTTTCTTCTTTTTTTTTGTGGATTTCTGTGTTTTGGTTTTTCTGTTTTGTTTGCGATTTGATTTAATTTTTTTTGTTTCTCAGTTTCTAAATTTTTTATTCGGTTACGTTACATGTGCAAAAAAAAATACAAAGTAAAAATGTTATAATAAATCAATGTTTGAGCTTGTTGAGTTGTTGTTGTTGTTGTATTAATTTATTGCATGAGGGGAAAGGGGCATGGGGCATGGCGGAGGGGGGAACTTAAATTATTCGCATTATTAATTACTCACCCGGGTACTGGTGCTCCGTAGAAAACACACAGAGATACGGGTCCGGGTATCTGCTCGGTGATTTCTCCACGAATATCTTTGACGAAATCTAAGCAGATTTTCGGTTTGATCTGCCAAGTGTTTTGTATTTTGTCTTGGAATTTATTCACTTCACCTTCACAGACATCTCTTCTCTGACATTTTATGCTGCTTCCATTTGGTGTGGATTTTGTTGTTGTATTACTTGTGTATAATTTTCTCTTTTGTTTTGTCAGAGATTCACTTGAAAATTCAGCTAATTAAAAAAAATTTACACGTACCGAACGCAGCGCGGTGTGTGGGAGAGAGAAGTGGTGTGGTGGGGGGGTGCTGGGGGGAGAGGGGTGTGTGTGTGGGGGGGAAGTGAATGAAGATTTCAATTTGAATTTTCGGTTTCGGTTTTGGTTTCGATTTCGTTTTCCGTATCGCGCTCTAGCCCAAGCACTCGGCGGCAGCTCTCGTAGCCAACTGATGAGAGCCCGACTCTGGCCGACTCTGAGCCAAGTTTATAGACCCAGGCAGAGGCCCAAACCGCCACACAGACGGACGGACAGACAGAGACCTCTCTCCCAGGCCAGGCGTAATGCCGGCTTGGGGTTGGGGCTCTCTCTCCACTCCACGGCTCACACTGGCTCTAATCTCTCAATTTGGCCCGTGCTTCCGAATGGTCTTTGTCTTCTGTCTCAACTTTGAACTTTTGCCAGCCGCCCCAGCCCCGCCCCGCCCCGCCCCGAGCCCATCCAATGATTCATTTATGGATGATGGATATATATGTGGCCCAAATCAAGACCGGAAGTCGCCCCCTTATTTATTGGAAATTGCTTTTTATTGTTTGTTTTACATTGTCGCCAAAAAATATGCGAAGCTGCAATAAAGTGAATTTGTTTGATTTAAATTGTAAATTTCCTTGTCGAACGCGGTTTTTCGCCAAACGTTGTTGCTTTTGTTGTTGTTGTTGTTCTTGCTCTTCTCGCCATAGATACAATTCATTGTTTCGATGGTGATTTTTCGGTTTTTTATGGCCAATGAAGGTCATTTAACAGCTTTTATCTGTCTCAGGTTTTGTTTTGTGACTGCTGCTGCTGCCGCTGCTGCTCGACAAAGACATTGAAGGGGAGAGGAGAGGAGATCTCATCGCGCACATGGACACAGCCAGACATTCGAGATATTCGGTTGGGTTTGAGACGCGAGAAAAAGGCTTTTAATGGCCCCCCCTCCCCCCCAAGACCACGCACAATTGTAGGAGTCAGCGGTACCCCTCCCCCGAAACGCCTTTCAATCAATTTTGTGAGTCTTGGGCAAGGCCTGAAAAGGGTAGACCCGTTCTATGGGTCCCTCCTCCACATATCCTTCCCCAGGGCCCAGAAATATGCCCATAAAACAAAGCATTTGCTGGATTTCTAATGATATTTCCTTTGGCATTGGTTTTGCTTTACACGGTATCAACTGGTCGAGCCCCCGGCCCCTCCCCGTCGACTACTATTATTTATATTTACAGTTGATTGCCAATAGGCAATGTCCCATAAAGCAACAGCCACAGGCATCCATATGCACCCCCCCTTCGAGTCATTCGAGGCGTTTTTGGAATATAATCTTTCGTTTTTTTTTTGGTTTTTGGTTTTGGTTTTTCGGTTTTTGCACAACTTTCACAAAGACGACCTAGACCACGAGACGCGGGCAGAAAAGTACGGGAAAACCCTTAACTGGAATCGTCTCGCCATTGGCGGCATTCGATCGGATCGGTGGCTCGATTTTGCGGCTGGCGGGGGGGAGGGGGGACCAGAGCTCTTATCGAAAATGGTTTTTAATGCGTTTTTAAGTCAAATTAGTGACTTCATCAGTCTCTGAGTCTGGACACCACGATTCAGGCTCAGATTCCGTTTGAGATTCACTTAAGCTGCTCATTAATCAAAAGCGGAGAGGCCCCCAAAAGGCCCCAAAAAGGCCCCAATCGGGACCAAAATCAAGTATTAAATGTTTGAGATACAATACGTAACGTAACCCCAAGCCACTGAAGGGCGGCCACTCCTCCACACACACACACCCGCCCCCCCTCCCCACACACCTCAGGGGCTTAGCTTCAATTACGAAATTGTTAATTAGAGGCTGGGCCCAAGTCTGGCCTATTGCGTGGTCCATGGGCTAATGAAACCATCAAAACATGGTTGTTGTCTGCCTGCCTCCGAAACCCATTCTGCCCGTGACGCAACAGTTGTCTGGGCCGGGCCAAAACTCATTTTAATGGCATTTCTAGGCCAGATCCCGCACCAAGATGTGGGAGCTGTAAAATTCGCATGGAAAACGCTAGAGAAACGCACGCGGCTGCACTGCTTGAACTGCTTGATGATAGATTGTGGTTGTGGTATTGGCTAAGCCGGACAAAAGCTGATCTGCGCGCAAGCTGCACGATTTAGAGCGAGAGAGAACTATGCTTCGAGAAAAGGAATTTTATTTTGGCTGAGGATTGGAGCTGGTTTTGTGGGGAATCTCTGGGAACTGGGGAGAGATGACCGAGTTGGCTTGGTAGGAGTGCAACCCATTGATTTCCAGCTTCCGTTTCTCATATTCTTCCACCTGGAAATGGAGTGCGTGTCAACACCCCCACCAAATACCCAAATATTTGTTTTTTATACTACTCTTTGAGCTACACGGCGCACCTCTGGTCGTGGGCTCATATCTGTCGCCGACGACTGAATGTTTAGAACTTAAGAACAAATATTTGCCCCCGCCACTGCTCAAGATCAAGATCTAGATCTAATCAAAGCTCTGCAAACAGATATTCCAAAAGGGAAGCATTTATACGGAACCAAAACAATCGAAATCGATCCAAAAAAGTGTTTATAAGCGCAGCGTCTCACAAGAATTAATCACAACACTTGTGGTGCCATCAGTTCCAGACATTCTACAGAAGTCCAGCACGAGTCCAGACGAATCCAAAATGAAGTTCCTTCTCGTAGTCGCCCTCATTGCTCTGGCCATCCAGCTGACAGTCGCTCAGACTGGAGCTGCAACAACGACAGTGGCCCCAGCCACAACGACGGCTGCCTCCACGGCTACGACCACGACGACAGCGGCATCCGTGACCAGCGCCACGACCAAGAAGAGCGGCGGCAAGTGGTGCTGGAGGGGCAACAACTGGTGCAACACCCGCCAGCAGGTGAAGTGCAAGAACCCCAAGAGGTGCATCAAGACCATCGTGGTGGTGCGTCGCCATAGGGGCTAAGCAAATAGATTCGCCGAAACGAACACCCAATAAAAATTAGGGCCTTGAAAAGCCAGTACGATGAAGCGAACGAGGCTCTTTATTGGGTTGTTGCCAGCTTGAATATGGACATCCTATCCAGTGTATTACAGAATGCTTCTGCTCGCCCTGGCGAGACCCCTTTTGGAGACGATGGTGTGGCCTGGGGGGAGATCGGATCTTTCAATTTTGGAGAGGAAGAGGGCATCCTCCTCTGTTTATCCTCTTTACACCCAGCGACCAACAATAGCCGCCATATCTCGCTCTCCTCCGCTCACTGCACGATGGAGGGTGTGATAGAGAGAGATGGAGAGACGGGTAGAGCAGCCCCTTCAAATGGGTTTCTTCGGCGATCTGCTAGGTAAGCTCATTCTCCTTGATTGTCTCTGGGATCTAGGCACTGATGAAGACGGACAGATAGACGTAGAGGCAGACATGGCTCACATTTTACATATCTACCTTAGGGGTTTGGAAATGCTTCCTTCCTACACTCCCCAATTATCCAAAATCGATCTCTAAGCACAGCTTATCCTAGTCCTTTTTGGGAGCCCCCTAAACTGGCTGTACAAAAGTGCTTTCACTTAATATTTGTGGGCAAAAAAATGCACATTATTTTCAAGTATTTTTCACAATACATCGCCTTCGGTTTAGCCACTATAAAGCGCTCAAGAAGCGATTCGTGCAGGGTTTCCTTTATGATTGTTTAGCCACAATATCCTCGTGCCCCTTGTCCCCCCTGTCCCCCTTGTCCCCCCTGTCCCCCCTTGTCCTGTGGCGCTGTCACTTGAGGCATAATTTATATTCATTGCTGGTCGCTGGTCGCTGGTCAGCGCGTTGAAAGAAAGAAAATTTCGCCCCAACACACACACACATACGTCCTGCCCCCTCCCGTCCCGCCGCGTCCTTGAATTAAATGAGTGATAAAAAGCGGAATACAAAAGAAGGGACTAAACATATGGAGTGTATGCTTTAAATTTATGGACAAGGAGTATGAGCTACTCCTGTCGCCCGTCTTTGTTCCGTGCCAACTAAATGACCATAAATACGATGTTTATGATTGCATTGTTGGGTGCTTGAATGAAAATATTCCCCACACACAGCGGCGGCGAACATTTGAGAGCCCCATCGAACATGGGAGAGAAAAGCTGGCCGCCGTCTGACGTCACATCGAACCCAAAGTGTGCTGACTTCGTGTTGCCTTGCCTCGAGGGTACCAGAATTCTGATCAGATCTGATTGGGGCACCATGAGGCACCAACCATCAGGAGTATAGGGTATCAGGGGTATAGGGCATCAGCGGTATAGGGCATCAGGGGTATAGGGTATCGAATGGCCCTCGTTTTGTAGTCTTTTTGGCTTGGATATTTTCTTAACTTTTTTTTAAATAAAAATGAAAACGAATTTAACAAAATCATAGTCGGAAAAAGGCAAAAAAATAATAAATAAATATAAATATAGTAAATAATAATAAGAAAAAATATTCTTTTTTTTTTCTAATAAATGGGTTTATAAATCTTATTTTTATATTTTTTTAATACAAATTAAATTAGTAAAAATTAAATTAGGAAATTAGTAAATTTGTATAAATAAAAAAAATGATTTTCAATATGTATTATGCAAATTTCAAATAACTTTTGATAACAAATTTTTTTGTCTTTTTTGTATAAAAAAAATTGCAATTGACATTTAGAAAAAATGTATAAAAAACACAATGAAAACAGCAATCCATAAATCAAAAATGTCAACTTACCCGTCACACCTGTGCGCTGTGCTCTTCACACCACGCCGTGCCACACCGCGCCGCGCCGCGCCGTGCCGCACAGTCGAACGGTTCTCCCGCCAAACAGCTGTTGGAAAATCCACCACGGCGCCCAAGCAACGCGGGCAGCGAAAGAAAAGCCCCCGAAACGAAAGAAAGAAGGCGAGAGGCTCCCGCGGACGGGCTGGCCCCCACAAATGCTCTTGGTCGGACGTCGTGTGTGGTGCTCTGCTCTACTCTGCTCTGCTGTGCTGTGCTCTGCTGTACGTATGAGAACTGGACGTGCACGGTCGGTCGTGTTGTAATCGTGTCGGGGCGGACGCGTCGAGTCGAGTGCCGTTCTACCGTGCCACCGTGCCACCATTCTTCGAGGTGTTTCGCCAGTCAGTTGGGCGGCAGATACGGATACGATTGCGGCAGCTCTCCTGCCCAGAGAGTAGGATGAAAGGGAGACAAATTAGAGCGCGTTAAAAACCAGCAGGAATAAAGTACAAATTAAACGGGAAACAAAACAACAAAAAAACAACAACGGAAAAATCAAGAAAAATATAGAAAAAAAAAAATTATAAAGTGTTTCGAAAATTCGTGAAAATATGCCAAAAAGTCAAGGGGGAAAGAATTCAAATTTTAAGCTAAACGAACGGAATAAATCAAGTGCGACAAGAAGAGCAAGAGGGATAGAAAGAAAGAACAGAAGAGAAGAGAAAGGGAGGGAGGGGGAGGGAGAGAGAGAGCGAGAGAGAACGAGGCAGAATACCGAAACGTACAAATCTGAAATCTGAAATTTCTTGTGACGCGTTCAAAAGTGCAGAAAATGTGGCCATCGCAGTCAATCAATTGATTTTTCTTTTGGCCAAAAAAAGGAAGCGTGGAAAAGGAGCTCACAAAGAGAGAGAGAGAGGACGAGAGAAGGGGGGGGGGAGGGGTAGGGGGGGGGGGGGGGGGATAGATCGGCCTCCATCTGTGTCCGCTGCCTTGTATCTCCATGGGAATCCTAAGTGGAGCATGGCACATTAATAATGCTGTCGCAGCGTTTCAACAATTTCTATCTGTGTATCTTTGTATCTTTGTATCTTTGTATCTCTGTGTCTCCGCCACACACACACAGAAAGAGGGCCAAAACTAGATAAACAACAAAACAACACAACAAATGGCCTAAAACGGAAGCTAGGCAAAAACCCAAGGATCCCAGCCCCCCCCCCCGAAATCCACCCAAAAACTTAGATTCCTCTCCACCCCAAGGCCTGCCATGATTGACATGGTTCCACAGCGGCTTTTAGAGAGCGAGTGGCGTGTGGCGGGGGTTGGGGAGGGGCTGGTGAGAGGGGGGGTTCTTAGAGACCGGTTAACTGGCGTCAGACGAAAAAGTCGGCCCCAGACACAGACGCGGCGTCGCAATAATCATAAAAGCAATAACAAAAGGAAGACCCAAGAAATCATAAATTCATGTGTGTGCGTGGGGGGTGGAGACCACCCCTGAAAAGCGGTAGCGGGGGGGTGGTTGGGGGGGGGGGGTGTGTGTGTGCCATATATTCCTTTATAATTCATTCAGCAGCTGTAATTAAGCCAGCAGTTGCAGTGCCATGAATAATTTGGCAGCAGCAAGCCGCAAGAGAACACGGCCAATTAGGCGAATAAACCGTTTACACAAGAAACGGGAAGGTTGGGCCCTCACCATGGAGGTGACCCCCGAAGACACCTACAGACGTTGTCGGCGATCGTCTTTGGGTCAAGTTGTGGCCACCGCAAGGGCTGGGGAGTTCTGCTACCCTCCCCCGTTGGGGTATTTACAGCAGATGCTAAGGTGGAGCATCCACGCACAGGACGCCAGAGCAGAGTCAGAGGCGCAGCGGCAGCGGCAGCGGCACAGACAGCGGCCCAGAGTATTGTCACGTTTTTCACTTGACTAAGGTCAAAAGTGGTCCCCTCCCCCCCCCCGGCCCGCACCGCCCTCCTCGCCCGGCAATCATCTGAACTTGATGCTGTCGCTGCTGTCTCGCGGCTGCGGTGGCGGCGGCGGCTGCGGCATCGGCTGCGGTGTCTATTTTTAACAGCACGCCCGCACCGAAAAAGCATGGCCAATAAATTTTCAGAGAAACAAAAAGATGTGTGCACACACTTGCAACCCAAAGTACGTGTGTGTGTGTGCGTGTGTGTGTGTGCTGCCCAGAGCCAAAGATATTCACTTTTTCTCTCCTTTTGTGAAAAGTAATTAACTCCAAAGTGTATCAAAGAGAAGGAAAGTGTGTAAATGCAAGGTATCGCAGCGGCCGAGTGCGTGAGAGAGAGCGAGAGAGAGACCTCTCCCTGTGGATGGGCGAGTGAGAGAGAGTGCGAGGGCACACGCACAACAGACGCAGGGCGAAAAACAACAACAAAACACCAAAGAAAGCCACTCAAAGAGAGTACAAGTTGTGGGCTCTCTCTGGCGCGCGCTCTCTCGCTCTCCCTCTCTCTCTCGCTCGCTCTCGGCTTGCTTCCAGGTTCCAGGCCTTCCAAAATAACACATTTTCCGTTTCGTACAAAGGATTGTGTCGCTTCGCATTGACATTGGAAGCTTTTTCCCGCTGCCTGCTGGCTCTGCCGCTGCCTACTGCCTCTGCCGCTGCCTCTGCCGCTGCCTCTGCCGCTTCAAGTTTGCGGAGTTCTGTCGACGCTGGAGCTCAGTTCGTGGCTAGACTTTGGAGCGTGTTGTATGGTTGGAAAATATTTGGTGCGTGAAATCAGACAGCCCCCCCTCCCCCCTCCGCGCCACTTACCACCCCTTTCTCTCGAGGACTCTGCATTTTTGTTGTGTGAAGAAAACATACACCTGTTTATTGGTATTATTTTTGGGTATAATTTCGAACAGTGGCTGAGAGAAAAAGGTGCATAAATCGCGAGTGCTGCCCGTACCCCGTACCCCGTATCCCCGTACCCCGTACCCTGTAAAGTAAGGCGTGTACCCGCACGCACACGCACACGCACAAAAGCACGAAACACGACAAAAAAAGGAGGAAGAAAGCAAAGAAATAGCCCCCAAAAACAGAGCAAGGCGCAGACAGATAGGCTGGCTGCAGGGGCAGGGACTGGGGCAGGGACTGGGGCAGGGACTGGGGCAGGGGCAGGGACTGGGGCTGGTGGCAGGGGCATTACCATAATGCTAATGCGGCAACGGGAATAAAACTTTCTCATTTTGTCGCACTGTGACTTTTTTTCGGGGCGCTGCGGGGGGGTTGGCTTTTTTTCAAAAACCGAAATTCGAAATAAAGTAAACGGAAATTACTAGGAAATTTTCAACTTAAAATTCCAATTCGAATTATTTTTTTTGTTATTTTTTTCACCAGTTGTGTGTCTCTGTGCAACAAAAAAATAAAAATCACATAAACAAAATGTGAGCAAAATAAAATAAAATAAAATAAAATAAAAAACTTAATATACAAAAAACTTAAACAACGCTTCATCCGAGATACAAAGATATATCCAAACGGAAGCCGCAGACAAAACAACAACAACAAAAATTATTGAAAGGAAAACCCGTGCGGCGCTTTTCCTTTTTGGTTTTCCTTTGCCGTTGGTGAGTAAATTGAAACGTTGAAATTATGCTAATAAAATCGATATATATGTGTATTTACGAGTCAATTAGCGGCATTTGTAATACCGACATGCTACTTAGTGGAAGGCTGCCCCTCGCTATGGGGAAGGGTGGCCCCCCCCACCCCACCGAAACGTTATCAACCACCATCATTAACCGAAATTGTGCAAACACATTTCCATCCCAGACCATCCCCCGCTCTCCCCCAGATAACAAATACCAAAAAAAAAACTAATATAATACTCATTCGAGTTGACAGACAACTCTATTGATAACGCCTGTCCGGCTCTCCGGCTCTCCGCCTGTCCTCTGGGCTCCTCCGTAAAAGCCGTCATCCTCCGAAAATTTATGGCACCCCCCCAAGCCCCTCGCACCGCTCCACCGCCTATCGCCTATCGCCTCTCGCAGGTGATAAAATGCTGGAGCTTGTTGTGCTTTTTGGGGGCGCAACAAAGCCATGTTCTCATGCCGCTTAATGGCTTGCCAATTTCCAAAGGCGTGGCAGCCACAGCTCCACACTCCCCCCCATCGAACAGAAGGGTTTGGGGATTGGAATAACAAGATAATCACCGGATATGCCACGGCACGGCAGGGCCTGTCGAAGGCCTTGAATTTTAAAGAATCTTCAAGCCAATAAATGTTGCAACTTTAAGCCAAAAACTTTCACGAAATCGCACTCATCTCGGGGCCAAAAGTTGCCTCAATTTTCGTTTATTTTGGCCCCAAAGTTTGCACCGAAAGTTGTCCATAAATTTGCCTACGATGGCTGCTCGTTTTGGCCCGGAGAGATCTATGAATGGGCCACAGCAGAGGATATAAATACCGAAAGGCGGCAGGGAATGACATTTTTATGGCAATTCCGAAAACGAATTCGGAATTTAAGAGGGGCAAAACGAAGGGGAAATTAGACGAGGAGATTGCCCCAGCAGATACCTTCCAGGAGGGGCTCCAATGAGGGGCTTCTAAGCGGCTTCTAAGCCCAGAAATATGATAAAACAATTTGCTTGGCGGCTGCCAAGTTTTCGCACCGACAGGACACAAGTTGTGGCAGATCGCAGCATCGTTTATTTGGCCCATTAAAGTTGTTAAATGGAAACCCCCCGCCCCCCTCCCCCCCCTCTGGGGCCAATGCAAACGGTATCCACTGAAGCGCATTTCCATTCATGTTTGAGGGCAGCACATAATCAATATTTGGCAAACAGCCGAATATCGCATATGACAAACAGGCGACAGGCCCCAAAAACTATCTATAAAGGGGGAGTGGCAAGGGGGGCTCCTCTATATAGCGGGTCATGGAGTACTGTACTGTACTGATGTCGTTCCCATCAGTAAAGTGCATCAGCGGCCCATTGAATCCATCCTGTGCCTCCCCGAATGTGGGGCTTCCCTTTGATGAAGGATGTGCTTTCCGTGCTACCCTTTTTGCACGGGGCACCAGCCTTAGGAGGGAAGAGAGAGTCCC